TTTTCTTTGTAGACCACTCAAACTCACAGAGATCCACCTGCCTCTGCTTCCTGAGTGCTGGGATTAAAGGTGTGGGGTACTACCACTGGGCTAAAAAAATTTTTATTATTAAAAACAGTCCATTATCATCATGGCTGGGAGCATGGCAGCATGCAGACAGTCATGGCGCTGGATAGTAGCTGAGAGTTCTACATCTTGTAGGCAGCAGGAAGTTGACTGAGACACTGGGTGGTATCCTGAGCATAGGAAACTTCCAAGCCTACCCCCACAGTGACACATTTCCTCCAACAAGGACATACCCACTCCAACAAAGCCACACCTCTTAATAGTGCCACTCCCTTTGTGATTATGGGGGCCAATTGCATTCAAACTACCACACTCCTCTTCCTTGTGGTTCCCTGGGCTCCAAGGGGAGAGATTTGGTGGAGATATCTCTTTTAGGGTTGACTATTTTAAGGTCTCTTACTCTCTGCATATTGTCTGGCTGTGGGTCTCTATATTTGTTCCCATTTGCTGCAGGAGGAAGCTTCTCATGGTGATGGCTGAGCAAGGCACTGATCTATGAGTTATCAGAAAATCATTAGGAGTCATCTTATCACTATGTTCTTTTTTATACCAGTGCTATTTGGTTTTACCTCACATTATCTTTGATCTATTTTAAGTTGATTTTGTACACTGTAACAGGTCTACTTTTATTCTTTTGCCTGAAGCTGTCCAGTTAACCCCTTTTCCCCCAACTATTGATGAGGCTGTCATTTATTTGTCATCTTTGTCAAAAATCAGGTGGATTTTTGTAAATCCCATGTAGCTTTACTGAGTTGTCTGTTCTGTTCTACTGAGCCATGTGTCTGTGTCCATGCAATTCTGCTTTTGTTACTATGATTACTCAGGTTCTCAGGCTTAACAGCAGATGTTCTTACCCATTGAGCTATCTTGCCATCCCCATATAAGCTAGTGTGAATGGGACTGTTTTTCTTATTTCTTTCTCAATATGTTTGTTATTGGTATATAGAAGTGATACTGATTTTTGTTTATTTTCTGTATGGCTGTTTGATAGTTAAAAGTTTTCTTTCTGGTTTTGGGCTACCTGACTCGGGATGTTTTTTCCACTACTTCTATGTGCCTGCAAATTTTAGAATATCATTGTTTCTTACCACTGAGTAGTGCTCCATTATGTAAATATACCACATTTTCTTTATCCATTCTTCAGTTGAGGGGCATCTAGGTTGTTTCCAAGATCTGGCTATTACAAATAATGTTGTTATGAACATAGTTGAGCAAATGGCCTTGTGGTGTGACTGCCTCCTTCGGGTATATGCCCAACAGTGGTATTGCAGGGTATTGCAGAGGTAGGTTGATCCCTAATTTTCCAAAATGGCTGTACAAGTTTGCACTCCCACCAGCAATGGAGAAGTGTTACCCTTTCTCCACATCTTCTCCAGCATAAGCTGTTATTTGGTGTTTTTGATCTTAACCATTCTTGCCAGTGTAAGATGGAATCTCAGAGTGTTTTTTTTAATTAAATTTATTTATTTAATTTAGAAACATCCTTATTTTATATATCAATCCCAGTTCCCTCTCCCTCTTGTCCTTCCAGGCCCCCCACTGACCCTCCCACCCCACCCCCCACTTACTCCCTAAGGAGGGTGAGGCCTTCCTTGGGGAATCATCAAAGTCTGTCACATCATGTGGGGCAGGGTCTAAGCTCTCCTCCATATATCTGGGCTGAGAGAGTATCCCTCCTTGGGGAATGGGCTCCCAAAGTCCATTTGTGCACTAGGGATAAATACTGGTTCTACTGTCAGAGGTCCCATAGACTGACCAGGCCTCCTAATTGGCACCCACATTCCGAGGGCTTGGTTCTGTCCAATGCTGGTTCCTCAGCTTTCTGACTGGGGTCTATGTACTCTCACTTGGTCAGGTCAGCAGTTTCTGTGGGTTTCTCCAGCATGGTCTTGACCCCTTTGCTCATTCTTCCTCCTCTGCAACTTGATTCCAGGAGTTCAGCCCAGTGTTTAGCTGTGGATCTCTGCTTCTGCTTCCACCAGCTACTGTGTGAAGGCTCTATGGTGGCATTCAAGGTATTTATCAATCTCATTATAGGGGAAGGCCATTAAATATAGCCTTTCCATTATTGCTTAGATTCTTAGTTGGGTCATTCTTGTGGATCCCTGAACATTTCCCTAGTGCCACGTTTCTCAATAAGCCCATAATGACTCCATCTATTAAGATATCTCTTTGCTCTCCTTCTCTATTCTTCCCCCAACTCGACCTTCACTAATATCTTTGGAGGTTTCCAGTCTCATAATATCATATAATGCTCTCAGTGTATGTGCTACTGATGTTTTATTTAAGAACTAGTCTACTGTGCCTATGTATTCAAGTGTATTTCCCACGTTCTCTTTTATGAGGTTCAGTGTGGATAGATTTATAATGAGGTCTTCCATCCATTTGGATTTGAGTTTTGTGCATGGTGATAGATATGGATCTATTTGCATTCTTCTACATGTTGATAGCCAGTTATACCAGCACCATTTATTGAATATGTTTTCTTTTTTCCCATTTTATATTTTTAGCTTCTTTGTTCTTGGAGTGTGGCTCAGGGAAAGTTATCAAGATATCCACTAAACAGAAGTCTTCAAAAAATGGTTTTTGATACTTCCCCCATCTAGTACAAAGAGGAGAGGGCTTTCCTGGTATCCTGTCTTTCTGCTAGTGCAGCTGACATGGTCAGTGTTGTCTCCTCTCCCTTAAGATATCTGTCCTTACAGTACACTGCAGATACTGCGAGGCTCTGTCTTTTGCTGCCATCTGCAGTTGCTCTGGCTCACTGAGCCTGCCTCTCTCTCCAGGACAGGTTCTGGAGTTTTCTTCTGTATTGCCTTGTAAATTTCCAATTTCCCTTTGTTTTGACACTAGAGATTTTCTGCGATTCCCAACCTCTTATTAAACCTCTTATTAATATCTCCAACTATTCCCAGTTTCCCCTTCACGGATTCTAGCCAAGTTAGGCTGGTAGTGTTCACCATCTTCTGTTCTGAAGGTTTCTGTTTAAATCCAACAGAGACACACTTTAAAATTTCCTTTTCTTTTCTATACAAGAGAAATAGTGCTTTTTGGCTTTATAATGAAAAGTCATTTTTATTTTTACTTTTCCAACAATAGTGTATCAATTTAAATGTCATCAGGAAATAATGTAATTAATATGAAAAAAACACAATCAGCATCGCAAACTCTAACAATAAGCTCACAGAGGCTGTAGTGACATAAAGTACAGCATGCTCATAAGATCCCTTTTTAGAAAAACCATTTGTAAAGGAAGTTGCATGATAAAAATTATGTTCATTCATCTGTATCATACCAATAATTACTTTGTGAGTATATATAAGTTCTTACAGCTTGAAGCTGGGGCCTGTAGGGATCAAAATTTAAGGAAGAAAAAGAATGAAGTAAGTTACTATTGATGTTAGCTATGCATAAAGATATATGAAGTATATGCATCTAGTCTATATACTCCATATATACTTAAAGATGATATAATTATATATGACATCATATTTCTATTTCTGGAATAAACTATTTGAAATAGTTATATTTCATTATTGGCTTCATTAATCGATTGGATTACTAACACCTTACTTAGCATTTTGTACTTGTGTTCATTAATATTTTCCTTTACAATGCTTAAGATAACATGAAATTCTATAAGTTGTACAATGTAATGAGTTTTCTCTGATATTATTACCATATTAAGAGTAGTATGTCATCCCTCATGGCCCTTTGTTTCCAGCTCATTTTTTCTGCTAATGAGCTCAGGACAGCTAGTGTGTTTGCTTTTGTCACTACAGGTTGTTTGCATGTCATTTGATTGCCTGAGTCTACCTCACTAAGAAAATGTACCTTATATTTATCTTTAAAATGAAATTTGGGCAATTGAGGGAAGAATTTGAAGTTGGATTAGTAACAAGCAGATAAAAACTAAGCAGGTTAAGAAAACAATTTCAACCCAAGTGAGTCAACAACTTATATGGCAGAGTAAGAGGGCAGCAATGCTACAATGCAAGTAGCTCTGCGCTATTGGGAGATAGGCCCACAGTAAGTACATGTGCCTGTGTAATGGAGGGGGACGAACACAGAAGATGCTTTCCTAAAAGTAAGTAGCAGTAGAAAGACTGTTCAGAAAGCTCAAGTAAAAGAACCAAAACAAATACCAGAGGATAATAAAAATAATTGATTCTGGAAATGAAGTTATTAAAGAGAGACAGGACAGATGAATTTTAATCATCATGAATTATGTGTTTTGTTAAACTATATGCATGACAGTGATAGAAAAAACACTAAATGGGAGAGAAACAAGTAGGACATAAAATTGTAATGCATTAGTCACAATACTTTGGATAATCTTTCATGTTACTGCATCTATTAGTAAAATCTTTTAATTGTTGCATGCAATTTCATTTCATAATTAGACCACATTTTAAAAGTTATTTTATTTATAGGCACTTGGGCTCTTTCTGATTTTCTACTATTGCGATGAAAGTTACTAGTGTCATAATTAAGAAAATAATTTTGTGGATATGTGCCTTAAATTAGGTACATATACAGTAGAATTGCTAAGACCTGGTATAGGTATGCATGGTATATATTTAGTTTGTTTATGAATTGTAGGATATTTTTTTATTTCCTTTTCAAGACAGGGTTTCTCTGTGTACTTCTAGCTGTCTTAGAACTCACACTATAGAGAGGCTGGCCCTGAATTCACAGACAGGGCCACCTGCCTTTGCCGCCAGAGTCTAAGGACTAAAGGTGTGTGCCACAACTGCCTGGCTGATGATAATTTTTTAAAGTGGGGATAGTGTGTGATAGGATAGGCTATTTCATGTCCAGTTTTTTCATCTAAAAGCTAATTATAGTCATCCTTGTGGCTATGTAATACTGTCTTGTCATGACTTTAATTTTCACTTCCCTGACAACTATTTCTACTATTTACTCTCTTTCAGACAGTTCGGCATGGTTTTCCTTATCAGCCCACAGCACTGGCCTTTGATCCAGTCCAGAAAATCTTGGCTATTGGAACAAGAACAGGTGCTATACGAATGTATCCTTAATTTTTGTTAATTATTCATTCAAGTAAGTAAAGCATTTGTAATCAAAAAGTGTATTGTTTTGTTAAAAATTAGTAACTATTGCTAAAATCACCACCGTCAAATTTCCTAGTATATTTTTGTCTTTGAGATCTCTGTTGATGTCCCTTCTTTAACTTCTGCTACTGCTTGCTTGTGTCATTCTTTTTTTCTCAAAAGTCTAGTGAGAAGTTTATCAATTACACACAAAGATTGAACTTTTGGACTCATTTTTCTTTATTGTTTACCTATTCTACACTTTAGTTTCTACTTTGATCTTTTTTGAAATTTACTTTGGGTTTAGTTTGTCCCATTTTAGTTTCTTTTTATTAAAATAAATTTTATTTAAATTAGAAGCAAATTTATTTTATGTATCAATCCCAGTTCCCTTTCCCTCCCATCCTCCCATACCCCCCACCGACCCCCCCCATCCCATCCCCAGAGAGGGTGAGGCCTTCCATGAGGGATTATCAAAAAACCTGTCATGTCATTTAGGGCAGGGCTAAGAAAGTATCTCTCAGTGGGAAATGGGCCCCGAAGTCCATTTGTGCACTAGGGATACATACTGGTTTCACTGCCAGAGGCTCCATAGACTGTCCAGTGCTCTTAGCTGACACCCTTGTTCAGGGGGCCTGGTTTGGCCCTATGTTGCTTCCCCAGCTGTCAGTCGGGGGTCCACGAGTTCCCACTTGCTCAGGTCAGCTGTTTCTGTGGGTTGTCCCAGCATGGTCTTGACCCCTTTGTTCATCCCTCCTACCTCTCTACAACTGGATTCCAGGATTTTGGCTCAGTGCTTAGCTGTGGGTGTCTGCTTCTGCTTCCATCAGCTACTGGATGAAGGCTCCAGGATAGCATTTAAGGTAGTCATAAATCTCATTATAGGGGAAGGGTATTTAAGGTAGCCTCTCCACTACTGCTTAGGGTCCTAGTTGGGCCATCCTTGTGGATCTCTGTACAATTCCCTAGTGCCAGATTCCTCTTTAAACCTATAGTGGCTCCCTCTATTGATGTGTCTCTTTTCTTACTCTCCTCTATTCATTTCTCTACTCAATCTTCCTGATCCCTCATGCTCTCCTCCCCCCTCCTATTCTCCCCTCCTCTCTCCTACCACATACCCCCTCACCCATGCTCCCAATTCCCTTTTTAGTTCCTTAAGGTATAAACAGTCATTAATTTGATAATGTCTTTTTATAATAATGTGCATATAGTACTATAGGTTTATTCCCAAATGCATTTTAATGTCTTCTCCATTTTTCAAGTTAAACCTTTTATTTTGAGATTTACATTTAGGTATAAGAAATATTTCTAAGAAATCCCATATATTCTTTGACCCAGTTTCTTTTACCTCTAATGTTTTACAAACTGTTGTGTGAATCCACAACTAGGGAGCTGGAGAGATGGCTCGGCAGCAAAAGTACATGCAGAGGGCCTGAGTTTGGTTCCTGGCATCAGTACAGTGGCTCCTAACTGTCTATAACTCTATTCCATAGGATTTAGTGGCTTCTTATGGCTTCTAAGGGCAGCCGACATACACACGGTGCTCATACATCCAAGCAGGCATTTATACATTCACATAAATAAAAAAACTTAAGAACAATATTCTTCACTTATTTTGACAAGGAGGCCAACAATACACATTGGAGAAAAGGTAGTATCTATAATAAATGGTGCAGGTAAAACTGGATCACTACATGTGCAAGAATGAAACCAGATTGTTCTCTTTTGTCCTGCATAAAACTCAATTCCAGTGTATTTGATACCCTGAATATGATAGAGGAAGAAGTAGGGAATATACTTGAACTTATTGGCATAGGAAAGGAACATTTATCCACTATAAGCAGAAGGGCAAACAGGTGCAGCCACTATGGATATCAGTGTGGAGATTCTTCTAAAAGATAGAAATAGATCTACTATGTGATCAGCTATACCACTCTTGTACATATACCCAAAGACTCCATGGTGGTGGTTTGAATGAGAATGGCCCCCATAGGCTCATATATTTGAAGGATTGATCCCTAGTTGGCAGAAGTGTTTTGGGAAGGATTAGGAGGTGTGGCCTTGTTGGAAGAGGTGTGTCTCTTGAAGTTTCAAAAAACCCATGCCAGGCCAAGTCTTTCTATCTCTGCCACAAACTTGTGGATCAGAAGTACTGTCTCAGCTACTGTTTCTGGCTTTCTTCTGGCTCTGTCTTTGCTCAATATCTGGAATTGGCTCTCTACTCCTTAGACTGAGTTTTAGCACATCTTCACTGAGTGGTAATGGGAACTAGGAACAGATAGCTGTGAGGGGCAGGGAAATGAAGGAAGATGGTCAGACTCTAAGTAAGAGATGTCCCTGGGTCCAAGGATACAGAATCACATAAAGGTGGCTCTTGCCAGAATTCATTATATAACAAGTTACATAAATTTACACTTTTTCCTTAGTCACAGTTCCTTGTATATGCCGCAGCAGCCATCTTAACTAAGTTATTCTGGATATCTATACCATTGCCATTTTGTCTAAATTTTTATCTGGCACCCACAGCCTTTATTCCCTTTCAGGTGATCAATTAGATCATTCTTTAGCATTCTCTCTGTGGAGGAGGGGCCAGCAGGTGCACTTGAATTCAGCCATTTCTTTGTTCCAGGTACCAGAGTGTTAAAGATTAAAGGCTGTAAGATGTTGCTTGGTGGTTCCCTCTCCCTCACCCCAGCCACTCTGTACTCTGCTTTTGCTCCTTGGTGCCATAAGCTAGTGTGTTTGAGGAAAACCACTTCTTAGCAGGTTCCTTTGTGCTGGCTGTCAGGGCCTCTCTGGGAGCTTGGTTTAACCAGCCATACTGAGTTGAGCTCTCACCTGCTCCCTGTGGAGATCTTGACTTTGTAAATTCACTGGCCAACTTTTGTTTTGTGACCAACAATATTTTTCTACTATCTTGACTGTTTTCTTCGACTTCACAGTTTCTTGGGTGAAGCTTCTAATCAAACATATTACCCAGAAGTCTGTTTAATTTTCTTACATGATTGTTCTAGGAAAAGAAAAAAGCCCAAAATAATCCCTTCAAAAAGTAGGACTGAGACATGAACAGAGACTCTCAAAAGAAGAAAAAATTGGAGCTGGGTAGAAGGCTCCATTGTTAAGAGCACTGACTGTTCTTCCAGAGGACCTGTGTTCAATTCCAAGCTCCCACATAGCAGCACCCTCAAACACACTAGCTTATGGCACCAAGGAGCAAAAGCAGAGTACAGAGTGGCTGTCTTGCAGAGCAGATATGGTGAAGGTTAGAGGCTTTTTGTTGTTGTTGTTGTTATTCCTGATTTTGAAGGAAAAGCTTTGTTAGAATAGAATAGTCTTACTGGCCTGGGTGGAGACCTAACATTCCAGTTGGGCTGGCTTAGTAAGTTTGGCTTAGGGACCACCATAGAAAAATGGATCCACCTTAGCTCTTGCTAAAGAGATAGGTGGAATAATCCGTTCTTTAATGAGCTACAGTACTTTTCCTTCCCAGAATCCCTAATTGCTAGGAATGATGGAAACTATTTGAAATATTTCTGAGACACTTTTACTTCTTTTTTAAAAATATTTGTTTGTTACTTATTTATTTGACGTGCAATGGTGTTTTGATTGAGTAAAGGTGTTAGGTCCTCTGGAACTGTAGTTATAGATAGTTGTTAGCTGCTATGTGGGTGCTTGGAATTGAACACAGGTCCTCTGGAAGAACAGTCAGTGCTCTTAACAATGGAGCCTTCTACCCAGCTCCAACTTTTTCTTCTTTTGAGAGTCTCTGTTTATGTCTCAGTCCTACTTTTTGAAGGGATTATTTTGGGCTTTTTTCTTTTTTAGTTCTTTATATATTCTGGTTATTAAACCTCTGTCAGAAGTATAGCTGGGAGTGATTCTCTCCCATTCCATGGGCTTCCTCTTTCTGGAGTTGTTTCTTTAGCTGTATGGAGCTTTTAATTTTTATGAAATCCCACCTCTCAATTGTTGGCCTTAATTCTTGGGCAAATGGAGTTCTATTGAGAAAGTAATTTCTTACCTATATCATATAGGGGATTGTGTATGTTTTCTTCTAGCAGATTCAGGCTTCATATTTAGGTCTTTGATTCATTTGGAGTTAGTTTTTTTGTAAAGGTGATAGATATGGATCTAATTTCATTATTTTGCTTGTGAACATTTAGTTTTCCCAGAACCATTTGCTGAAGGTGCTTTCTTTTTTCCAGTGTATGGTATTTTAGTCAAATACTATGTGGCTAAAGTTACATGTGCTTTGATTTTGTTCTGTTGGTCTACATGTCTGTTTTTGTGCCAGTACCATATCACTGTTTTTATTTATTTGTTTGTTTTTTATCATAATGGCTCTAAAATACATCTTGAGATCTGGAATTGTAATTACTCCATCATTGTTTTTCTGTTCAGGATTGCTTTGACTATCTAGGATATTTTGTGGTTCTAAATGAGTTTTAGGATATTTTCTTCTATTTCTGTCTAGAATGAGATGAGGGTTTTGATTGGGATTGCATCAAATCTGTAAATAGCTTTTGGTAAATTGATCATTTTCACAATATTCACACACACACACACACACACACACACACACACACACACAGTTTGTTTTGAAACAGGGACAGGGTTTCTCTGTATTGTTTTGGAGCCTGTCCTAGAACTCGCTCTGTAGACCAGGCTACCCTCGAACTCACAGAGATCTGCCTGCCTCTGCCATCTGAATGCTGGGATTAAAGGCATGTGCCACCAATGCCTGGTGTTTACAATATTCTAATCTATGATCATGCTATATCACTCTATTTTCTAATGCTTTTCTCTCTCTTTAGAGGTTTTAAGGTTTTCATTGTGAAGGTCCTTCACCTTGAATAGGTTTATTCCTAGATAATTTGTTTTCTTTGAGGCAATTTAAATCAGAAAGCATCCATGATCTGTTTCTCTGTATATTTGTTGTTATTGTATAGAAAAACTTTTGATTTGTGCAAGTTGATTC